AGGGCCCGGGGCCACAGAGACTGCCCAGCTGAGAGAAAAGGCAAGTCAGGAGACATGATCGAGGGGTTTGAAATCATGCACAGTGTGGGGAAAGTAGAGAGGGAGGCATTTTCTCTCTGTCCCGTAGCACTCGAACCCACGGTCATCCCACAGAGTGGATGGGTGGGAGGTTTCGGACCGATAAAAGGAAGTACGTCTTCACACAGCGTACAATTAATCTACGGAATTTGCTGCCCAGGAAGTGGTGATGGATGCCCATCTGCATGGCTTTAAAAAGTGACTGGACGGATTTGTGGAGCAGGAGGCTCTCAGTGACCACTAGCCATGCTGGCCATGCCGGCTTTGATCTCTGCTTCATGTTAGCTCAACCTGTCCCATCATCACATGGAGAGCTTAGGCTGACAGCCACTGAAATGCTAACTCTGTATGCTTGGAGCAAAGCATTCTATGGAATAACATCACCTGCTCGGCTTCAGAATTTTTCCGGCAGTAATGCTGAATTTTCTTCTCCTTAGAGCATTCATTTCCAGAGGAGCAAGCTGAACACTCAGAAGTATTGGAGGAGAAAAATAAAGAGGGTTCTAAAGGTATTTCCTTTCACAATTGGAGGAGGGGGGAACTCATAATCCCTCATTCATGGAATTCTGTAGGGCTTTTCCACAATATAGTCATCCGCCAGGCCCTCCCCTGTGTCTTCCAGGCAGTTTTGTGAGGTTTTTATGTTAGAATATGGAAAGTCTGCTATTACAATTCAAATTGCAACAAACCTGAGCGAAAGATTTGTGTAAAGTTGCAAATCCACTATCAGGCAGCTCTACCACTGCGCCTCCTTGTGGTTGGTTTGCAGAATATACAGGAAGATGGGGCATGGACCCATTTTTCATTCCGCAAGGTGAAAACAGAGCAGACTCAGTAAGCAGCGGGTTAACCCACGCCCATGTAAGCAAGTCTTTGGTCACAGATGTGCCTCTGCTAATGGGCGGAAGGTCTCTCCCATCTGAGTCTGCCTTCCCTTCACATCCTGGGCTGGTGGGTGGGTGGGATTGGAACATGCAAGGAAAAGGAGAATTCCTCAGCTCACTGCCATATGCACGTTTGTGAC